CAGGTGGGGAAATGGGCCAAGCAGGCACCTGACAAAATTCAACAAAGGCAGGTGCGAAGTCCTGCACCGAGGACGCGCTAGCTTCTTGCAGCAATACAGGCTGGGGAGTGACCAGCGAGGTAGCAGCTCTGCTGAAAAAAAGTCTGGGAGGCACTGATGGACAGCAAGCTGAGCACAACCCAGCGCATGCCCTGGCAGCAAAGGCATCCAGTAACATCCTGGGCTATACTAACAGGAGGGTAGCCACTACCTCAGGGGAAACAATTATCCCCCTTCATTAGGCACTCCGTAGACCACATCTGGATACTGCGGCCAGTTTTGGGCCCTCCAGTACAAGGCAGACATTGATTAGTTGGAGCAGGTTTAGCAGGAAGTGACCAAGGTGGTCAGGGGCTGGAGAAGAGGCACTGCCAGAGGCTGAGGGAACCATGCTTGTTCAGCCTGGAGAGGAGAAGAGTTCAGGGGTACCTAATAGCAGCCTTCTAACACCTATGGGGAGGTTGCTGAGAAGGCAGGGCCAGGCTCTTTACCAAGGTGTGTGGCAAGACCCATGGAGTCAGGCAGTGGAGCCAAAGTAGTAGTAGTCTCAGCCCTTCGAGGTTTTTAAGACCCAACTGGATAAAGCTCTGAGCAACCCAGTCTGACCCTGCTTTGGGCCACAGGTTGGACTAGAGATCTGGATCCCAACCTGAATTAGGTTGTGATGTTATATTTTTTAAACAAGATACCTCATTAATGACGTTAAAAAAAAAAGGCATCAAGTACTTATCCAATGAGGGCTAGCATACATACACAATATAGTTGCAAATTCACCCTCAAAAATGTATACCATCAAAAACATTTGAGGGGCAAAATTTTCTTTTTTAATTAGATATAGGTTGAAATATGTAGTGTGAAATGTTGTTAGCTTTAATTGTTCGCCTTATAGTCAAAGTAGCAAATGCATGACTTTTTAGAAACCAAACATGTACAGCTGTGATTCTTTATTTAGATTTAAATAAAGTTTTATGCTTTGCAAAGAGTGATATAACAGTATCACTTTTGTGGTGTCATTCCTACCTGTATTAAACAGTCCAATGCATTATTGCTCCCAGATGCTGAGTACGGCAAATTAACACTTATCCATAACAAGGGTTGTCCCAAACCTCTAAATTTCTTAGGAAATGTATGTTCTTGAGACAGAAACTTACTGTCTGAACACCAAGCTTGTTACACTCAAAACCTTAGAATAGAATCATAGAATCATAGAATCATTAAGGTTGGAAAAGACCTCTAAGATCATCGAGTCCAACCGTCAACCCAACACCACCATGCCCACTAAACCATGTCCCTAAGCGCCTCATCTACCCGCCTTTTAAATACTTCCAGGGATGGTGACTCAACCACTCCCCTGGGCAGCCTCTTCCAATGTTTAACCACCCTTTCAGAAAAGAAATTTCCCCTAATATCCAGTCTAAACCTCCCCTGGCGCAACTTGAGGCCGTTTCCTCTCGTCCTATCGCCAGTTACTTGGGAGAAGAGACCAACACCCACCTCGCTACAACCTCCTTTCAGGTAGTTGTAGAGCGTGATGAGGTCTCCCCTCAGCCTCCTTTTCTCCAGGCTAAACAACCCCAGTTCCCTCAGACGCTCCTCATAAGACTTGTTCTCCAGACCCCTCACCAGCCTCGTTGCCCTTCTCTGGACACGCTCCAACATCTCAACATCCTTCTTGTAGTGAGGGGCCCAAAACTGAACACAGTATTCGAGGTGCGGCCTCACCAGTGCCGAGTACAGGGGCACGATCACTCCCCTACTCCTGCTGGCCACACTATTTCTGATACAGGCCAGGATGCCGTTGGCCTTCTTGGCCGCCTGGGCACACTGCCGGCTCATGTTCAGCCGGCTGTTGACCAACACCCCCAGGTCCTTTTCCGCCAGGCAGCTTTCCAGCCACTCTTCCCCAAGCCTGTAGCGCTGCATGGGGTTGTTGTGACTCAAGTGCAGGACCCGGCACTTGGCCTTGTTGAAC